GATGATGAGAGAGACACGCAAACTCCAAATATACAGCAGCAGGCGTCAGGGTCGGGAACGAACCCACGACCTCCTGTATACCAGGCGAGGTAGTTAACATCTCCTAGCCACCGTGATGATGATGAGAGAGAGAGACACGCAAACTCCAACTATACAGCAGCAGCAGGCGTCAGGGTCGGGATCGAACCCACGACCTCCTGTATACCAGGCGAGGTAGTTAACATCTCCTGCCACCGTGATGATGATGAGAGAGAGAGAGACACGCAAACTCCAAATATACAGCAGCAGGCGTCAGGGTCGGGAACGAACCCACGACCTCCTGTATACCAGGCGAGGTAGTTAACATCTCCTAGCCACCGTGATGATGATGAGAGAGAGAGACACGCAAACTCCAAATATACAGCAGCAGCAGGCGTCAGGGTCGGGATCGAACCCACGACCTCCTGTATACCCGGCGAGGTAGTTAACATCTCCTGCCACCGTGATGATGATGAGAGAGAGAGAGACACGCAAACTCCAAATATACAGCAGCAGGCGTCAGGGTCGGGATTGAACCCACGACCCTCCTGTATACCAGGCGATTTAGTTAACATCTCCTAGCCACCGTGATGATGATGACAGAGAGAGAGACACGCAAACTCCAAATATACAGCAGCAGGCGTCAGGGTCGGGATCGAACCCACGATCTCCTGTATACCAGGCGAGGTAGTTAACATCTCCTGGCCACCGTGACACCCCTGACGGTGACGCGGCCGGGCGGGGGCGTGTTCCCTGCTTGTTGTTGCAGAGGTTCGCGGTTCGATTCCAGCGGCCGCCCTGATTAATAGCGCAGCGTCGTGTAATCACCGGCGTAGTAATAATTAACACAGCTGCACTCACAGCCGGGCGGTAAGGAACCCCGTGACGCCATTGCCGAGCGCAGTGCCGTTGTGTGATAGCGTTGTCCGGGAACGCATTTGGAACATTCGAAAGTCACATCACAAAATTACTCGACTGGGGATGATGCGCACGGCAGAAACCATTACTCCCTACCGGTGGCAGACTAACACCCCAGGTCACTTTTGCAAATTAGACGAGAGAGTTTTGCACCTTGTTAAGACAACAACAATAACCTTCAAACGTCGACACGAAGACGCCTCATGAGAGTAATTATAAAGTATTAGGGTATTTAAGGCCCTCTCCAGAAATATCTATATACAGCAGACTCTCTCCATTATTCACGCTAATGACGGAGGAAACGGCCGGGGATTATTCAAAATCGCGGATAATCCAAAAATATTTGTTTTCCGTGAATCTCTATGCCACAAAACACTAACATAGGTATAGATTAGTGGGGTTTTTTCAGCATTATGCGATACCATTTGTTGCTCCTGTAGAGCATCTAGAGATGCGTATTATTAATATAAAGACAATATGACGTACATTATTATTATTTGGATCGTCGCTAGCACGTCTGACTAACTTCAATATTCTCAGTTGCTGGAATCAAAATAGCTTAAATAAAAATAAATAAATCACGTAATATGACGGTGTTTTTGGTGTGAATTCCTTCGGTGACCAGACTAAGGCCATGAATTCTCTGCACTTGAGAGCCCGCGTTTCATCACAGACGGTTGTCCTTTTTAAAACTTTTTTTTTAAATGACACTTTTAACAGCTTTGCAACATTTATTTTATTTTATTATGTTGCATTCTTTATTTATTATTTTATTATTATTTCCCTTCTACGTGACTTTACCGGAAGAACTAAGAAGATGAGCTATGCAACAGTCAGTAATTTTTTTTTTCCCCCATCCTAGCAAGCGGCGCTGTAGCTCATTCCCACGAGCCACCGTGCGTGCATTGGCAACTTGTTTACGGCCTGACCAACTCGCGTCAAGGCCATGTGGTGTAATGCAAAGCTTCACGTGACACCGTTCATCAATTCCGGGTGAAAAAAAAAATCCTCTCTATTCCCAATAAATAACGCCTCCTGCCCATATTTGTCTTTCCAACGAAGAAGAAGCAGTTTTTTTATTTTTATTTAAAGCTATCGTGACTGCAGTAATTCATATTCCTAGCTCTTTCGGTAAAATCACGTTGAAGGGAAACAATAAAGTAATAAAGTAATAAAATATATATAAAACAATAAAAAAAGTCTCACGACGTTTCGACCATAACACCTGAAGATGACCGTTTTTGTAATGGTCGAAACGTCGTGAGAATTTTTTTAATTGTTTTATATATATCTTATTATTTTATTGTTTCCCTTCAACGTGACTTTACCGAAAGAGCTAAGAATATTGTATTTTCTTTGTTAACCCAACCGGCCACACGAGCCTTCTGGGAGAGTGCATCTTCACAAACAAACTCTGGACCCCTTTCGACAGTCGTTGCCTCGTCAGCTCACCGAGTCAGGCTTGCTTGAACCTGACGATGCTGGCGAGCTTACGGATGTCTCCAGGCAAGGGGCATTTTTTGTTGTTGTTGTGAGCAGTGGGTCCTAGTTGGACACAAAAACAACGTGCGTCGCACCGTACCAGAAATCATTCGTGATGCGTCGTCGTTGTAGAGAATGTTAAGAGCAATGTAGAACAAGATAAATAATAAATTTTGATTTAAAGCTTTCGTGACTGCAGTAATTCATATTCTTAGTTCTTTCGGTAAAGTTCAACGTGACTTTACCGAAAGAACTAAGAATAAGATAAATAATGTCTTCATCCTCCCATTCACGGCGATGCGATTCGGAGTGCGGGGGAGGGACGAACATTCGTGGATCCTATTATCCGCCGGGTTATCCGCAAAATTACTCCACTTACCTGGCGGGAAGACGCAGTCGGCGGATAACAGGAAAGACGGGGAAGTGTAATTGGGAGGTTTCACGCGGGCCCTGCAGCTCCCACGGTTAATGGGAGTCGTGCGTTATCGGGTTGCGGGTCTTGGTGGGGGTTGCGCATTGCAGAGGGCATCTGTGGGCTCCAATTTAACTGCAGACAGCTGAAGCCTCTTCTAGATTTGAAGCTTTCGTGGCTGCAAGGATCCATACTCTTTGGTTCTATTCGGTAAAGTCACGTAGGTAAAAAATAAAAACAACACAAATCTGCGACGTTTCGGCCACAACACAAGTGGCCTTCATCAGCTGAAGCCTCCTCCGTGCCATGGAACTCTTTTTGCCAGTATCAAAGGATGAAAAATAAGAATGGATTTTTACCCTTTGTGGAAATGAAAACGGGTGGCATTAAGATGTTCAAGCACCAAATAGATTCTAGATTTGAAGCTTTCGTGACTGCTAGGATCCATACTCTTTGGTTCTATTGGGTAAAGTCACCTCTACGCATAGAATAAAGTCTCCATTAACCAGGCAATACTTGTGGTGAACGTGCAAATAAACTCTGGTGGTATATGCGTTGGTCGTTGAAACTAATTGGCTTACACCAGAGGCAACCGTCTCTATGGCCTTGTCTCGTCAATGTCACTCCAGAGAACAGCACAGAGACAATGCCACACATACAGGAGCATTCAGAGCTCAGAGTTGAGCAGCTATATCACGGGATACCTTTTTTTTGCCAGTCAAACTCTTTTTTTTCTATCACAAAAGCCTCGTCCGTCTGCAGCACCACCAGGCTCACATTCAGGCGAGGGAAGGGTCGAAACATTTTGAGAATGCGGGTTGGAGAGAGAGAGAGGGGGAGTGAGTGAGCGTGCGCGGGACTCCTTAGAACAGGGGTGGGGGACCTTTTTTTTCTGCCAAGGGCCATTTGGATATTTATATAACATCATTCGCTGGCCATACAAAATTATCAGCTTAAAAAATTAGCCCGTTTTATTTGGTCGAACATTTTACTAACTCGCCTCCTAATGCGATGGGCTGGAACTGCTTCTCTTTGGCGAGGCGCGTGATGATGTCAGCTGATATTGACGATGTTGCTGCTACTCGCAACTGCTTTTCCAGGTTTGCTCCTAGATTTATTGAATTTCGAGTCCCGCCTGCGGTTGCCTTGGCAGGGCCAGAGACCAAAATGATTTCGCGGTGCCTCATACGGCCCGCGGGCCGGACGTTCCCCTCCCCTGCCTTAGAGCGTTCCCCCCCCCCCCCCCAGCACGCGGGGCGAAACGTCGGACACGGTGCCGACACGACTCGGCGGCACGGCCCTCGGAAAAGACCGCGCCGGAGGTGGTGCGGACTCGCACTGTCTGCCGGAGAACCTCGTTCGCACCCCCCCTTTATTGCCGGGTGTGTATCGTGACCTGACGTAGAATTTGGCGTGCGTTCTACAGGGACCCCGTAGTTGCAGATGCACGTGTTGCGTGTTGCGTGCTGCGTGTTGCGTGTTGAGTGTTGCGTGTGGCGTGTTGCGCGTTGCGTGTTGCGTGCTGCGTGTTGCGCGTGGCGTGTTGCGCGTTGCGCGTTGCGTGTTGCGTGCTGCGTGTTGCGTGTTGCGTGCTGCGTGTTGCGTGCTGCGTGTTGCGTGTTGCGTGCTGCGTGCTGCGTGTTGCGTGCTGCGTGTTGCGTGCTGCGTGCTGCGTGTTGCGTGCTGCGTGTTGCGTGCTGCGTGTTGCGTGCGGCGTGTTGCGTGTTGCGTGCTGCGTGTTGCGTGCTGCGTGTTGCGTGTTGCGTGCTGCGTGTTGCGTGCTGCGTGTTGCGTGTTGCGCACCTGGTGCCGTGCACAACACGCCGGTGTGGTTACCGTGAAGCAAAGGCAGCCCCGAAGCGAGCGACCGTGCTCTGTGTCCGTCATTTGTAGGTGATGCTGCTCGCTAACGGCACTTGCCCCAAACAGCCCGTTCAGGCTTTTTGTACGGTGTATGCGAGTATGCGTATTGCCTTAAAGGTGGGGGGTGGGGTGGAAGCCGGGGGGGGGGGGGAATTATATATATATTTTCAATCTTTTGTGGCTTCATGAATAGTTAATTAGCAAAGGACGCGTCAGCTGATATCTGAATTTTACTCAAAGGTGACCCTGGTGGGTCAGGCACCGGCTCACATGCAGCGAAATATACAACAACTCCGCTTGAACGATACACATATGTACACATGGCTTTATTGCATTCAGGCTTATTGGACGTTTAAATGCGTTGTCTATAGACATCTCTTTTTTTTCTTTTATCTGCGTGGCAGGGTAGGCTTGTCGCGCAAAAATGGCCGTTGTGGTCAAACGCACAGCGGGCCGGCGATTCGGAGAAACCATCCTCGCGTTCAGCGCAAGGGCCGCGGAGATTTCGGTTGGCCGCCTTTGTCGTGTGTCCGTACGTCCGTAGGGGCTTCTTTCGCACCGTACGTGGCCAACCGTGCCAATCGGTGGCGCGAGGGAAGGGCAACAAACGATCGTGACGGGATCGTCTGGGTGGGTGCAAGCACACTTTACAAGTGGGGCTTTGCGACAACCAGCGAGGGGGAATTTTTAGCGGAAAGTTGACGAACTCTGCGCCGCCGGATTGACGCGCGAATCGCGAGCCCGCTGCGTGCTATCCTTCCCCCTGCCGATGGCGAACGTTAGCGGTGCATGCTGCCCCAGCACCTCCCCGCCACTCGACGCGGCGGGTGTCCCTTCATCGTTCAGCTGCACCGCGTGGCTCTTTCGCGTTTCGCGAAGCCGTCGCGTCTAAAGCCGCCTCATGGCGCCGCCTGTCGCGGTCGGCGCCGCTCTGTCCCACCCGACACGCCCGCAGCCCGCGCTCGCCGGCCGAGGAGCCGGGCCCTCGGCCGGCGAGCGCTCGCCAAATTGGCGCCGCACAGGGGGCCACCCCTCCGTCGGCGCGTCCGCGCCCTGCGATCGACAACGGTAGCGGCAGCGGGACGAAAGTGACGTCATATCCACACGGCAAGCCGGGCGCCGTTCTGCTTTCCGCCAGTGCTGCCCTTGTCCGACTCGGAGGGGGCCTGGTGCGTCGTCGCGGTCCGCTCGTGCCGGGCGTTGGCCACGTTCTGCTCCATCGCGCTGGACCCCCCCCCGGCCACGTTCTCGTCCGCCGTGCCGCTCGAACCGGCGCCGCTGTCCGAATTCCTCATCTCGTCCACGCCCGGCGCGGCCGCCGGCTCGGCCCCGGCCACCGGCAGGCCCGGACGGCCCCCCACGCCGCCGCCGCCGCCGATGCCGCCGCCGCCCTCCGCAAGGTTTTTCCGCGGCGGGGAGACGCCCGGCACGTTGGCGCTGCCACCCTGCCTCGGCTCGATGATGCCATTGGGTCGCTTGGCCGCGCCGTCCGCCGCGGCGATGGCCTCGGACGTCTGCGAGGCCTTGGAAATCGCCCGCAGCTCGTACTCGAGCAGCGACGGCGCCGAAGGCGTCCCCTCGCCGAACTCGCAGCCGCACGCCGGCTCGGGGGAGCCGCGCGGCCGGTCCTGCGGCACGGTCTGCACGCCCCGGTCCTTGCTGGCCAGCGCGTCGCGGGCAGCGCCCGCGACCAGGTGGAGCATCTCGCACACGTTGAGCGCCAGGCACAGGCAGCTGACGCCGTACATGACGAGCAAAAAGATGGTCTTCTCGGTGGGGCGCGACACGAAGCAGTCGACCACGTGCGGGCACGGCGGGCGGCCGCACGCGAACCGCGCCGCCACCTCGAAGCCGTACAGGAAGTACTGGCCCGCGAGGAAGGCGCCCTCCAGCGCGGTCCGGGAGACGAGCTGGAAGACGTATATGGCCATGAGGCCGTCCTCCCTGATCCTCCGCCGCCCGTCGTGACGGTGCCCCCTGTCGGGCCGGTGCCTCTGCAGGCCCACGGCGTCGTCGAATATCATGGGCTCCTCCTCCAAGTTGCTCTCGCCCTCCTCCAGGAAGTGGCTCTGCCCTCGGTGGATCATGAGGCCCCTGCGGGCGCCGCGGCCCTGCCCGTGGCCCCTGCCGCGACGGCACCGCCCGTGGCCCGGCTGTTTCGCCACCTTGTGGGCGGCGAAGGCCAGGTAGAGGAGCGAGGGCGAGGACACGAAGATGATCTGGAGCACCCAGAAGCGGGCGTGCGAGAGCGGCGCGAAGGCGTCGTAGCAGACGTTCTCGCAGCCCGGCTGGCCCGTGTTGCACACGAACTTGCTCTGCTCGTCGTAGTAGATGGTCTCGCCGCCGACGGCCGCCAGCACGACGCGCAGCACCACCAGGGCCGTGAGCCACAGCTTCCCCACGAAGGTGGAGTGGTGGTGCACCTCCTCCAGCAGACGCGTCAGGAATGCCCAGCTCATGGTGACGCCAGCCCCCACGTCCGGCGCCCGTCACGCACCTTGCACGGACGGACAGAACAGCGGCGACGATGGGATTGAGGGTCACGTGACGCGAGGGTGGTGCGTCGGCGGGGATCGTGGATGGGTGGAGCGATGGCTTGCAGCCCGTGGTTGCGCCGTTCAGGGGAGGGCGAAAGCCCTTTTTGGGGGGGCGGTTGGGGGGTAGTGGTGGTCGGGTGTGGTGTGGTGGGGGGGGTGTCAGGCTGCCGCAGGGATATTGTGCAGGAGAAACATTTCAAATGCGCGCACGGGGAACGCCGGCAACGACAGACGCCCCCGTTGCCCGACACGTTGAGTGCTCTCTTGGTCGTATTGTTAATTAATAAATATCATCATCATCGTCGTCGTACCCAGAGGAATGGGGGGCAATATCGGCCACCAACTGAGATTTGAACTTTCATGGCCCCCCCCCCCCCCTTAACGATCGCGAAACGGGCAATCTGCAACCACGCCACTCCGCCAGGCGTTATTGAACGTGGATTTGCAATATTTCACACCCACACTCATTTGTTGTGTCCAAGCAGATGTTTAATACCCCGTGCACATTCGTTTTGCCTTTTCGTGACATTTGTGACAAAAAATAAATATATAGAGTTAATGACTTGGAGCTTTCGCGACTGCAGGAATTCATACTCTATGGTCCTTCCGGTAAAGTCGCAAGCGTTCGCTTTGTGTTGCGATCGAAACGTCGTGATATTTTTTTTATTATTATTGTATTGTTATTATGTTTTATTCTATCTATGTGACTTTACCGAAAGAACCATAGAATATAGACAGTTTATATATTGCACACTGCACCAGGTGCTCACTTGAGGCTGAGTCGACCGATGGGAGGCCCAGGACCGGTTCAGATAATCGTCACTGGTGTTTGCCCGTGATCGGGAATCGAACTCGGGACGCGGGGTTTGGAGCGCAGTGAGCTAACCGCTACACTACCGCTCCCCACTCCAGGCACACACAAAGGCAAAGATCCCCCGTACCGCCTTAACAGATTGCAGCGATAAGTGCTGTTGGCGAGCGGCACCTATGAAGGCCGGCACGGCACAACGAGGGGGGTGGTTGGCAAGCACCACGCCCGTCCGCCTTTGTCTCCCCCAGTGGCGATGTTTACACAGCGCACCAGGTACTCATTTCAGGCTGAGTCCACCTAGCTACAGCTAAAACAAACACAAAGACCCCCCGTATAGCCTTAACAGACTGTTGGGGCAAGTGCTGTTAGCGAGCACCTATGAAGGCCGAAACGGTACACGAGGGGGTGGGTGGCCAGCACCACGCCCGACCGCCTTTGTCTCCCCAGTGGCGATGTTTACACACCGCATCAGCTACTCATTTCAGGCTGAGTCGACCTAGGGGAGGCCCAGGACCGGTTCAAATAATCGTCACCTGGTGTTGGTCGTGAGCGGGAATCGAACAAGGGTCACAAGGTTCATAGCGCAGCGCGCTAACCGCTACACTACCGCCCTCTACACAGCTAAAACACACACACACCGTGATACACACACAGTGACACACACCATGATACACACACACACCGTGACACACACACACAGTGACACACACCATGATACACACACACACCGTGACACACACACACAGTGACACACACCATGATACAGACACACACCGTGACACACACACACACCGTGATACACACACACAGTGACACACACCATGATACACACACACACACCGTGACACACACACAGTGACACACACCATGATACACACAGACACACACCGTGACACACACACACAATGTAAATGATATTGGGCCAAACATCCGAATGCTGATAAGTTTACCTGTAAGTTACTCGACTGGCATCGCACGCAGCAGCAGCAGCAGCAACATCGCCGTCCTACTGCGAAAACTTCGCAGGGCTCTCTTGCGCAAGAGTCGTGAGACTCGGTGAGGCTTCCCTGTGATAAACAAGCGTGATCATACGAACAACAACAACAACAAATGCAAATATTTCGATTTAAAGCTTTCGTGACTGCAAGGATTCATCTTCTTTGGTTCTTTCGGTAAAGTCACGTAGAATGAGAATAAAATAATAAAATAAAACAATACATTTCTCACGACGTTTCGGCCACAACACAAGTGGCCTTCTTCAGGTGAAGAAGGCCAACCTGTCGGGACGACAGAGCTACAATATTTTATTCTCATTCTACGTGACTTTGCTGAAAGAACCAAAGAAAATGAAAATATTGTTTTTTGGTTGTTGCTTGTAGTCTGAAACATATAGGATCGTACCCGAGTTCAATTCCGCTCCGTTGTTAGCATCGGCGGCGAATGATATCTGAATCGGTCCTGTTTTTTTAAAGTGATTATTATTATATATGTTTTTTTTTACCAACTCTCGCTGGCCGAACGTCGTGGTGAAGTACGGTCAAAGCAACAACCCTCGTGGCTTTTAAAGCCTTCATCCGGCAGTGGTTTGACGACGGGGCCCTAAGCTACGAATGTAACTGCAACGCAAGGGGCTCGACGTTTCGCGAGCACGCCTCCAGCGAGGTAGCCCGTCGAGTTGAGCCGCGTCTTGCCGCTCAACTCGCTTCGGTTTTTAACTTTTGCTATTATTGTTATTTGCCGTGTGCCTATCAGTAAATTTGAAATGCAGAAAAATATATTTTAAAAAGATGATAATAATAATACTGTGGATTCCTGCTCACGGCCACCACCAACACCAGTGACGATTTTCTGAACCGGTTCTGGGCCTGCCCCGGGGTCGAATCAGCCTCAAATGAGTACCTGGTGCAGTGTGTAAACATCGCCACTGGGGAGACAAAGGCGGCCGGGCGTGGTGCTGGCCACTGACCCCCTTGTGTGCCGTGTCAGCCTTCACAGGTGCTTACTAACAGCCCCAACAGTCTGGTCAGGCTATATGCAGGTGTGTTGGACTTCTTTCGCACCGTACGTAGCCAATCGGAGGTGCAACATCGGTCGGGGGGGTCTTTTTTTTTTCAGACTTACACCAACTAGTTCCTGCAGCGGGATGTCACCACCCTGCTATACCACCTCTTCCCAGATGCCTGGCTCTCGTGGAGGAGTAGGCCAAACAATCCTCTTAGATGTCCAACTTCACGGCAATAGTGGCGCCCCGTCGCGTTACTTGTCGATGCTAAAGTATTCAAGTGTCAAATACTCTTTGGTTCTATTCGGTAAAGTCACGTAGGTAAAAATAAAAACAAAAAAATCACGACGTTTCGGCCACAACACAAGTGGCCTTCATCAGGTGAAGGGACCGTGCTGTCATGAGGACAGCGTTGGAGTGAAAACAACAAGCCCAGGTCGCGTCCTTTACACACACAGCTTAAAGGACGCGACCTGGGCTTGACTGTCTTCACTCCAACGCTGTCCTCTGGACAGTCCAGTCCCTTTACCTGATGAAGACCACTTGTGTTGTGGCCGAAACGTCGTTATTTTTTGTTATTTTATTTTTACCTACGTGACTTTACCGAAGAGAACCAAAGAGTATGGATCCTTGCAGTCACGAAAGGTTCAAATCTAGAAGTGTCAAATAGTTTACGTGAAAACGTGCGTTTTACTAGCCGGCTGCAATTATCCGGTTACTTAAGAGAAACAAAAATACTGAATGTGTCCACGAGAGGTTTTGTGAGGTTAGATTGCGTAAATATAAAGGGGCCGTCCATAAATGACGTCACGCGATTTTGGACGATTTTTGACCCCCTCCCCCTTTCACACGGCGTCACAAAAAGTCAGACCCCCCCTCAAATATGACGTCACAAAGCTCTGCCCCCCCCCCCCAAATAATAATAAAACATGCTTCAAATCGCTTTAAACTATTATCATTGTAGTGCGCATTCAATGTGCCGCTGCACTCTGATGTTGTAGGAGAAAACATTTATTAAAAAATTGTCTATTTGATTAAGTAGAACGTGTTGTCTATATTTATTTAAAGTTGCGCATTTTGATGTGACGTCACATTTCTCAAATCCCGCCCCCCCCCCCTCCACTCGTCACACATCGTCACGAATGTCTGACCCCCACCCACCCCCCCAGGTGCGTGACGTCATTTATGGACGGGCCCAAACCCGCCGCCATCCGACACAGCCAATTAGTAAGGGGTTTGTCACGGAAACGAAACATGCCAATTCGTTAAATTTTGATTTAAAGCTTTCGTGACTGCAGTAATTCATATTCTTAGTTCTTTCGGTAAAGTCACGTTGAAGGGAAACAACAAAATAATAAAATATATATATAAAACAATAAAAATTCTCACGACGTTTCGACCATAACACAAACGGTCGTCTTCAGAATTTTTATTGTTTTATATATATTTTATTATTTTGTTGTTTCCCTTCAACGTGACTTTACCGAAAGAACTAAGAATATGCCAATTCGTTGTTACTGGTTCAGCACACCGGTGTGTTGGGGAGTAAAAGCCACAACATTTACAATCCACAACATTTACAATTGTAGAGAGTAAACCCACAATTGTAAATGTTGTGGGTTTACTCTCTCACACACACCAGTGCGCTGTACTTATAACGAATTGGCATGTGTTTGACTGCGTGACAAACCTTACTAATTGGCTGTGGCTGGTTTAAAGACGCATTCACATTTACGCAGTCTCTAACCCAAGAAAACCTCTATTGCGGATAATATTGGTCGCGACGGCGTGCCGCTACGTGTTAAACCAAACATTCTTATTCTGATGATTCTCTATTTTTGTGCGCCGCGATACGTTTTTCGTGGCACAGAGTTGCTCTTTTTGTTTTTAACTTTGGGAAAAAGCCAATCAGTTCACAGAGACACGGGCGTCGGTGCCATTCCAGGAATAGCGCGCGGCAAGATGCGATAATGAATGCAAAATAATATTAGTGTCTGCGGTGCGGAGTCCCTGGGCATTCAAGGGTGGTGCTCGCTGGGCAGTGTCCACCATGGGGATTGTCCACCCTGGGCAGTGTCCACCAAGGGGATTGTCCACCATGGGCAGTGTCCACCATGGGGATTGTCCACCCTGGGCAGTGTCCACCATGGGGATTGTCCACCCTGGGCAGTGTCCACCATAGGGATTGTCCACCCTGGGCAGTGTCCAACATGGGGATTGTCCACCCTGGGCAGTGTCCACCAAGGGGATTGTCCACCATGGGTAGTGTCCACCATGGGGATTGTCCACCCTGGGCAGTGTCCACCAAGGGGATTGTCCACCATGGGCAGTGTCCAGCATGGGGATTGTCCACCCTGGGCAGTGTCCACCAAGGGGATTGTCCACCATGGGCAGTGTCCAGCATGGGGATTGTCCACCCTGGGCAGTGTCCACCAAGGGGATTGTCCACCCTGGGCAGTGTCCACCATGGGGATTGTCCACCCTGGGCAGTGTCCACCAAGGGGATTGTCCACCATGGGCAGTGTCCAGCATGGGGATTGTCCACCCTGGGCAGTGTCCACCAAGGGGATTGTCCACCCTGGGTAGTGTCCACCATGGGGATTGTCCACTCTGGGCAGTGTCCACCAAGGGGATTGTCCACCATGGGTAGTGTCCACCATGGGGATTGTCCACCCTGGGCAGTGTCCACCAAGAGGATTGTCCACCCTGGGCAGTGTCCACCAAGGGGATTGTCTACCCTGGGCAGTGTCCACCAAGGGGATTGTCCACCCTGGGCAGTGTCCAGCATGGGGATTGTCCACCCTGGGCAGTGTCCAACATGGGGATTGTCCACCCTGGGCAGTGTCCACCCTGGGTAGTGTCCACCCTGGGCAGTGTCCACCATGGGGATTGTCCACCCTGGGCAGTGTCCACCAAGGGGATTGTCCACCCTGGGCAGTGTCCACCAAGGGGATTGTCCACCCTGGGCAGTGTCCACCAAGAAGATTGTCCACCCTGGGCAGTGTCCAGCATGGGCAGAAGGCTTGGGGTTATATATATACACCATCTGTTTATATTTTACACGCTCTTTGCACTTTATTTTCAGGTTTCATATGACGGGGGTGGGGGGGTGGGGGGAAAGAACACTTCCCCGAAAAGATGTCACGAAACTCTCTCACGCCGAGTTCACTAACATCATCCAATGGTGGCATTTTCCATTAGCGAGCTCCTATTAATGACCACGGTGACACACGAAACGGGCGGCTTGGCGTGACCAGAACCACGCCTGGCCAACCAACCAACCAACCTTCGTCTCCTCTGCGCTGACTGTGGCCACACCGCGCCTTGAGGTTTTCAATTTCGGCTGAGGTGACCTAGGGGAGGCCCCGGACCGGTTCATATTTTCTCCACTGATATTGCCTGTGGCCGGGGATCGTGCTCGGGTCGCCGGGCTCGAAGCGCACTGACCAATACTTCACCGCAGTGACCCTTGCAAGAGGCACGGGGCAAGGTTCAGATTCCATTGTTGAGGGCACTGCGTAGAAGCACCACTTGTGTGATCTACCGTTAACCAATCAGGGGTCACTGGGACTGCAGCACCTCGCGTACACACAAAGACAAAGATCTCCTCCCACGTATGGCCTTTAACAGGCTGCTGGGGCAAGTGTTCTTAAACGAGGAGCAACCTACGATGGCCCTGGCACAGTGGCACACGAGGGAGTGAGTGGCCAGCACCACGCCTGGACAACTTTGTCTCCCCAGTGGCGATGAGGTTTACGCATTGCACCGGGTGCTCGTTTGTGGCCGAGTCAACCTAGGGGAGGCCCAGGACCGGTTTAGATAATCGTGAATACCGTTGGTGTCTCCGAGCGGGAATCGAACTCGGGTTGGCTACGTTTCTTGGGCGCAGCACGCTAACTGCTGCGCCACCGTTCAACGTGGGCACAACCGTGCACACACGCACACCCAAATAACTACAACCTAAATCACACGCAGACACACACACACAGACTCCGCCTCGGGAACAACACTGCGTCATTATTTTTGCATAAACACATCCACATATGGGACATGTGTGCACATATACACTCGAGTGAGTCCACACCCACACACACTTAAACAAAGATCATCCGTGTAGCCTTAACATACTGTTGGGGAAAGTGCTGTTAGCAAGTAGCACCTATGAAGGCTGGCACGGCACATGAGGGGGTGGGTGGCCAGCACCACGCCCGACCACCTTTGTCTCCCCGGTGGCGATGTTTACACACCCCACCAGTTTGAATCGACCTAGTGGAGGCCCAGGACCGGTTCAGATAATCGTCACCGGTGTTGGCTGTGAGCGGGAATCGAACGCGGGTCGCCAGATTCGTAGCGCAGCGCTAACCGTTACACTTTCGCTCCCTATAACACAGATATATGCACGTACACACGCAGACAGACACACGCTCGCAGACTCAGATACACATGCTATTGTACTCCCAAGGGTAAATCCTAACAGCGTGTAATTGTCTGTTCCTAAAAATAAAATGGCATCAAGCCCCGTGCCCTCTCCTTATCAATACAATTAGTAAAGTACCGTAGTTATATTCTGCAAATTGATAATTAAGGGGGGGGGGGGGTGGAGCGGGGGTGGGGGCGGTGGAGTGCGCGCGCGGAGGGGGGGGATCAATAAATACCATTAATTTCTCTTGAAATATTAAATACCTGTCAATTAATTCCTGGTGGAATTTAATTTCACTTACCGGGACCATTTTTTTTGAACGGATGAGCAATTGCCGCGAGGACAAAATGCTCGCGGAGAGAGGAATGTGAACCCGCCGACAATTGAATGGGCAGTTGGACACTTGAATGATCCTCGGCCGGGTAAGTTTAGTTTTTTGTTTTTTTTGTTTGAGCGGTAAATTCTCACGCTCGGTCACTTCGCGCGATTACGTTTCGCTCGGCGAATTGTCACGCGTTCATTCCTGCACGGCCGCAGGGCTTTTTGGCATTTCCCATCCCGTGGTCGTGAAATGATGCGTCAAATAAACCCACCCGTCGCAAATAGAAGTGAAGTGCCGACCTCCGACCCTCCGAGCTGATGAGGACTTAGGGGCCGTCCATAAATGACGTCACGCACCTGGGGGGGGGGGGTCAGACATTTGTGACGATGTGTGACGAGGGAGGGGGGGGGTGAGAAATGTGACGTCACATCAAAATGCACAACTTTGAATAAATATAGACAACACGTTCTACTTAATTAAATAGACTTTTTAATGAATACTCTTTGGTTCTATTCGGTAAAAGTCACGTAAAAGTATAAAACAACAAAAAATAAAAATAAAAAATTCACGACGTTTCGGCCACAACACAAGTGGCCTTCATCAGGTGAAGGGACCAGACTGTCTTGAGGACAGCGCTGGAGTGAACACAGCCACGCTCAGACCGCGACCTTTAAGCTGTGTGAGAGGAATTAAGGTGCCTTGACAAAGGAATTAGCATAAAAATTAGCATTCAATTGGCGGACTTAGCATGATGACCGATGTACAGGGGGGAGCATGTGCAGACCGGCGAGGGGGGGAGGGGGAGTTTACATATTGGTGGTGTGAAAAGGGAATTTGAGCAGCTGCGAATGCTTGGGATACCATTACTTGAAAAAATATATACTGTACCATTGAAAATTAGTTTAATGTTTGGTTTGATTTAGAGCATCTTTCCAATGATTGCTTAATTTGAAACCATCTTCTCGATTGAAATTGTGTCTGTGTTTGTAGATCTGAATTGCCTCGTGAACAAATCTCTGATAAAAACCCGTGGGTTTGCAAAGAACCTTGGTATCGGAGAAGGCCACTTGTGTTGTGGCCGAAACGTCGTGAATTTTTTGTTGTTGTTTTAAACTTTTACGTGACTTTACCGAATAGAACCAAAGAGTATGGATCCTTGCAGTCACGAAAGCTTCAAATCTAGAATTTTTAATAAATGTTTTCTCCTACAACATTAGAGTGCAGCGCCACATTAAATGCGCATTACAATAGCAATAGTTTAAAGCGATTTGAAGCATGTTTTATATATATATATATATTTTGGGGGGGGGGGGGGGTGGGGGCAGAGCGTTCTGACGTCATATTTGAGGGGGGGTCTGACTTTTTGTGACGCCGTGTGGCGAAGGGGGGGGGGGGTAAAAATCGTCAAAAATCGCGTGACGTCATTTATGGACGGCCCCTATGAACCTGGCGACACGGGTTCGATTCCCGCTCACGGCCAACACCGGTGATGATTATCTGAACCGGTCCCGGGCCTCCCCTAGGTCGACTTAGCCTCAAATGAGTACCTGGTGCAGTGTGTAAACATCGCCACTGGGGAGACAAAGGCGGTCGGGCGTGGTGCTGGCCACCCACCCCCTCGTATACCGTTCCGGCCTTCATAGGTGCTGCTCGCTAACAGCACTTGCCCCTACAGTCTATTAAGGCTATACGGGGGATCTTTGTCTTTGTAGTGTAGTAGGGAGCGGTAGTGTAAAAGCGGTTAGTGCGCTGCGCAACGAACCCGGCGTCCCGAGTTTGATTCCCGCTCACGGCCAACACCGGTGACCATTATCCTGGGCCTCCTCCACTAGGTCGACTCAGCCTCAATTGAGTACCTGATGCGGTGCGGTCAACATCACCACTGGGAAGACAAAGGCGGCCGGGCGTGGTGCTGGCCACCAACCCCCTCGTGTGCCATTCCGGCCTTCATAGGTGCTCGCTAACAGCACTTGCCCCAAGAGTCTGTTTCGGCTATACGGGGGAACTTCGTCCGGCGACCTCAGTTCCATTCCCGCTCATGGCCACCAACACCAGTGACAAGGGAGACAAAGGCGGCCGGGCGTGGTACTGGCTGGCCACCCACCCACCCACCCCGTCGCGCGCCACAGTGCCGGCCTTCATAGGTGCCACTCACTAACAGCACCTTGGTCTTTGATCAACAAAATCCGGGAGTTGGCCGAGGGCTGTCTCGCGACGATGCGCGGTGCGTGTGATGAAGATTTATGCCACAACATGGGACCTTTTTGCCAGTATCAAAGTATGAAAAAATAAGAAGAGGTTTTACCCTTTCTGCCAATAAAAACAGCGGGTGTTAAGACGTTCAAACACCAAATAGAAATATTTTGCAAGGAATCAAGTTTGCAGTGACCTCGTACTTGTGGTAAACATGTAAACAAACATGCTCTGCTACTAAAATGCATTGTCTTTTGAAAGTGATTGGCCTACACCAGATGCTAGCAAAAAAAGGTCCTCATTCCCCGGTTCGGAGACACGGTCCCCTCGTGCGCCTGTGGAGAGAGCATCGAGCACCAGTCGGCGTGTGATGCTTCAGCACAGCAGCTGCTTGGCGGGCAGCGCTTTCTGATTTCACAGCTCCGTCTCTTCTCGGGCAGACGTCCGCGCGCTCTCTCTCTCTCTCTCGGACGCGTTCCATTGTTTGTTTTCCCCGCTCCGTTATCATCATTGTGATACAATTCTGTATTGATTCTAGCCCCTGGGTCGACCCACTTTGTCTTCCCAACACATCTCCGGCTCCACAGCTTTCCGTCGCTCGCCACCCCCCCCCCACCCACGCCCTTCAGGTACGAGCCCTCCTTAACCCCCCCCCCCATCACCTCGCCTGTTCTCATGCCGCTCAAACCAAACCACCCCAAATCTTCATCCCGAACCGCTATCGCTCTACGTACAACTTTACAGTCGCTGTGCAGCGCCTCGGGGATAACGCGCTCGATCAACACAGACAAGGTAATCCGAGTAACGCGACAGCCTGTCGATATTTAGTCGAGTTTAAGTCATTCCTGTAGTCCAGTTGACTCGTGCGGTCAACGCCTTCAGTCACATACACTGCTAGCTGGTCAATGTTGGTGTTGTGGGGGGGTGGTGGGCACGAGGTACTCAAAGCCCCCCACAGCAGCATCAGGTTGGCCGATCTGTGACCTCGCTAAATCTTCTCACGGATGCACGTGGCCAGCCACACCTACGTTTGGTCTGCCTTGGTGCACTGCAGTCTGTAATAAAGTTACTCCGTTATCGCAGTCTCCATCCACGTTCAGACCGAGCTAATTCCGTCTAGTCAAAGTCTAGTGGCGGCGGTGGTGATGATTGTCGTTGTGGTGTTGGTGGAGATGGAAGTGGTGGTGGTGGTGGTTATGGTATTGGTTATTAGTGGACAGTCATAGTCTAGTGGTGGTGGTGGTAATGGTGATGGTAGTGGTGATTGTAGCTGTGGTGGCGGTGATGGTGATGGTCGTGATATTCGTGGGCAGTCATAGTGTAGTGGCAGTGGTGGTGATGGTAGTGGTGATGGTAGTGGTGATTGTAGTTGTGGTGGTGGTGATGGACATGGCCGTGATATTCGTTCGCAGTCATAGTCTAGTGGCAGTGGTGGTAATTGTCGTGGCATTCATGGGCACTCAGTCTAGTGGTGGTGGTGATGGTATTGTGGTGATGGTGTTGGCAATTGTTGCTGTGGTAGCGGTGATGGTCGTGGAATTGGTGCGCGGCAAACGGGGTCGTGGTCACGCTTTGATGATTTCCGTTCACTGACAGCCATCGAATACACAACCCAACAATCCCTTTTGTACGAATATATTTTCATCCGTAATTTCCGTTCGCAAAATTAACAACCGCCCATCGACTGACTGGCTCTTCGGAACCGATGATTCATACTCAGCCAGCTCGAAACATACACTCGTGGGCACGCCTAACCGTGTGGCCGTTGCAATAAATGTTAAACAAAAAATGATTATGATTTACAGCCCTTGAGTAATTCAACTGCTGGATGATGGCATAGGCCACGGTATCTTGGTTATGGGGGGTTCGCGAGGGAGCCAGGGGGCGGGGGGACGCGTTGTTGATCATACTTCACCATGCCGGTCAGCGCAGGTTGGTGAAAAACTCGTGGAACAATTGGTTTAAAAAAAAAATGTAAGTTCATCTGGGTGGCCAGACTAAAAGGTTAATGTAACCATGAAACAGATGTCATATCCGTTATACATTTGTAATATTTATTTTTTCCAGCCGCGCAAACTGCCAAGACGGCTTGTAACAATTGCGTACAATTTGTGCGCGTGCCCTGCTAAAAGTATTCCAGGGGCACACACGGTGGGGATTTGCGTTTAACGGGCAACACGCCGCTGATGAGTCTCAGAAAAGCCAAAACTTTTTTTTTTCCCCCAGCGGCTGTCCATGTGCAGACAGATGCTCGGTAGCGAATAATATTTGAAGCGGTGCATGCTTCACCACCTTGACCAAACTGTACTGACCAGCGTGGTGAAGTATGGTCACCACCCCCCGCCCCCACCTCCTGCACAGCGTGAAGAGGCTTTTATCCACTAGAGGAAATGACATCAAAACTAAACACGCAAAAAGCAGTGCTAAAGAAATTAGTTTGTCAATTTAGACGACGATTTAAAAGTGCGTAGCTCCATCGGATTCCGTATATCGGAAGGAAGAACCTTCCAGAAGGCCGCAGAAGCGCATCTGAAAGCGCCACGCGATGCGATGACCACCGTCTTTGTCCGACGGCTAGCAGCCAAAAGCCGCTGCTGCTTCGAGGATGATCTGAGTTCGCGTGATGAAGATTTATGCCACAACATGGGACCTTTTTGCCAGTATCAAAGTATGAAAAAATAAGAAGAGGTTTTACCCTTTCTGCCAATAAAACAGCAGGTGTCAAGATGTTCAAACACCAAATAGTAATATTTTGCAAGGAATTAAGTTTGCAGTAGCCTCGTACTTGTGGTAAACATGTAAACAAACATGCTCTGATACCAAAATGCATTGTCTTTTGAAAGTGATTGGCCTACACCAGATGCTAGCAAAAAAAGGTCCTCATTTTTGTAGCTGCAAACTCTGAGCTAAAAAAATGATCTTATAGTGGCATTGTCCTTGTGCGGGTTCACCTTGTGGCATTCTCTGGTCTGACACTGGTGAGATTGGGCCCTAAAGAAGGCTGTAAACAAATCAATAAAAAAATACATGTACAAATTAAGCTAAACTATATCTTTTTTTTTCTCTTAGCACGTAAAGCACACCGAGCTATAAGCTTTGTTTTCAGAAGCGACCTGGTCATCACAAATGATGGCTCAACGAAAGTGGCTCCTCGTCGCGTGGA